CCAATCCATATCAGTACTGATATCCAGCTTAATTTTTTTTCCTTTGAGATGTGGCGTGTTTTCAAAGTGCTCCTTTAATTTTTTGGAGCAGTCTATATCAGAAGAGACTGGAAAAACATTCCTCACCCAAAAGTCCAGATGTTTACACCGTTGTTAAAAGATAAGGAATGCTACACAGTAGTAAACGTGGCTCTGTCCCAGATTGTTGGGAGTTGTTGCTGCCATCAAATTCAAAATGAGCTAATATTTTTTGCAAAACAGTACATCCTCTTAGTTTCTTATTTTAAACACTTGATATATTTTCTATGTTCTATAGCATGTAAAATATGGGTTTATGAGATTTACACTGCGTTCTTTTTGTATTTAGATTTTACGCAGCACCAAAACATTTGTGGAATTTGTTTTGTACTTGGCTTCAAAATTCTGGTTGCATCTGGTCACAGCGTGGAATAAATTCTCACACAGTTTCCTGCATGTGTTTTATTATCTGATGACAGCTCCATCCCTTTGGTCCCGTCGGAGCAGGCTGAACACAGAAACCCAGTTTATGGCCTATTTGTGAGGTCACGGGACAGCTTAGCCCTCCTGCCCCTCCTCTCACTGCAGAGCCGACACCTCCTGGTCCTCGGAGAAGGAAGTTAACAGATGCTTCTGAATCAATTTTCCCAAAGAATCACAATGACCTTTCAGAATCCCTCCGTCCAGATCACCTGCTCTCACTGAACAGCCCTGGCTGCAAAAGGTCAGAACTCAAAGCTCTTTAATAAGTTTATTTCACAGATACTCACTGGGATAATAATTTATTTGTTAATAATACCGAAAAAACCCCAAACAAATAAAAAAGACCATATAGGAGAAAGAACACGCACATAACATATTTAATGTTTAAGATAACATATGTTTAGGTCATTCTCCCAGTGAATGTTTGCTTTAATATCATTAAAAGCTCAGTTAGTGGCAATATTTATAATACATCAGAAAGTAAAAAGACATTTTGGTATTTCCCATTTATTATTGTACATTTGATTTGACTGCATCGTGTACGCACATCCCTGAGAACAGATGGAGGTCACCAGTTCACTGTGATTGAATTAAATCACTTGTTGGCATGTTCATGGCATATTTGTACGTGCAGTTCACTTCTTTGTGTCCTGAGAGCTGTAAAGGTCTGGGCCCCCCCAAAAAACCCCAGAAGAGATCCACAAACACGGACTGGGAACGCCCCCCAATTATCATAAGAAAGAAAGTCTGTGTGTGTGTGTGTGTGTCCACTCTGAACAGCATGCATGCAGACAAAGCGAGCAGCCGCTCCCTAACTGGATGTGGGCTCAGCTTCATCCTGCCTGGCTCTGAGAGGAGGGGGAGGGGAACTCCCTGTTAGAGGCAGCCAATCAGATCCAGTAAGTAACCACAACATGTGACAGTGAAATTGAGTCAAAATAAAATATTATATTGAATAAAACAATATGTGGATTCTTTGGCAGCATTGTGTTTGTGCCATTTGTCCTACTGCTATCACTTTCTTGACAAATGAGTCACACAGCTAAAAATAGAGATATTTTTAAAATCTATCTTGAGATGTTAAATCAACAAGACTATAACCAACCCTAGTTGAAAGACTTTGAAAGTGTGTAATCAGACTGCTCTATCTGCCTGTAAATACAATTTTGGCTGCTGTCGTTTTGGCTCTGCTTTTGGTCTCCACCAAATTGTTCTCTTTTACCTGTTGTTGGTTACATTGTGTTAAAACACAAGATGAAAAACAATAGAATTTGGTGATATTTCTCAATACGTAACCTTGAAGATATTGCACAGTATTTCACCCATTGCTAATTAAGTAGAGCTTTAATGGCATTTTCAACTGAATATTTTCATTCATTATCACATACTTGTGTTTTTTTTTTATCTATTTTTTCTTTTCTTAAATAATGCAACTCATATTACAAAGGCAGGTCTATTCTAACAACCCCCTGAAAAAAAGAAGATTAGATAGCAGACTCAGGGGCATTGAGTATGAAAAATGTAAAATCTTAACCCCACTCTGGCATTCTTTACTGATGTTGTTAGCAGAAAGAGCATCAGAAATGTAAAGGGAGGAGGATGGGGAGGGGAGGGCTGAGAGAGGGCGCGAGGCAGAGAGGGAGAGGCGCTCACTCAGTGGTAGCAGGTTTGTGAGACCAGCAGCCAGAAGAGCAGGAAGAAAGAAGGAGGAGGGAGAGGATTCAGAGCGAGACAAACAGTGTGGCTGCAGTCAGGAGACACAAACGGAGAGCGAGGAGGAGATACGGAGAGAAGCGAAGGTAAGAAGGCAGCTTCTGTCCACGTTGATCTGTTTAACGCCTTTCTGTTTTTCAGAGTGAACGTAGGGTATCAGCTGGAAGAAAGGATGCTCTGCTACCCCGTGCGAGCTCTCCTTTTCTTCCTCTGTCTGCCAGCTGACGGCACGCTGTATGTCGGGAGAGCAGAGCGCTGTAGCACTGCAGGGTGATGCAGAGAGATGGAGGAGAGAGGAAGAGGAGGGGTGTGGGGGAGGGAGGGATGGGCAGCATTATGCTCTACAGACATGAGGAAGTAAGAATAGAGAGATCAGGTGGAAGAGAAGTGGAAACAGGAAGAGATAGCAGACGTCTGCCTCCGTTTTGCTGTGTAGAATTCAGGAAGTGGGTGTAGGGGGATTTGGGAGGGGGGGAGCCTTTTGTGTGACAGTGTGCAGGAGCAGGAGTGTGTCAGCTGTCAACATCAGTAGTTTCCCTCCATGTTGGAGATGATATAAGTTTCTGTCTGGCCACACCCTCTGCTTGCTCCTGTGAGATGAGATTAGATGATGGGAGGTTTTTGTGGTTGCGCAGAAGTGATGGTGTGAGCCTGGGAAGTGTGTGTGTGTGTGTGTGTGTGTATGTTGTGTGTGTGTGAAAAACATTTTGGATGTTGGCCAAAGATGCTTAGTATTGCCTCCCATTACTGTCAGTTCAGTGGATTAGCCGTATGTGAGCGGTGTTCATTCTCGAGGCAGCGACAAGTCGAGCCAAGCCGCTCAATCATGTGCTCACCGAGATGTTGCTCTCAGCTCTGTGTGTGTGTGGAGACCAGCACGGATTCTCCAGTGTGTGTGTCTGTGTGTGACTGCCTATGTCTTTACTGTAGTGGAGCACACACAGCTGCAGCTGTATACAGATCGAGCCTTTAACCCCCGGCATGATTCCTCTTTGCAAGTTCCTCACATCCATTTTTTAGTGACATGATACAGAAATAATATACTGTAAAAGCACACTGGACAGACAGAGACCGAATGCTCCTGAAGCAAGGCTGACCCTTGCCATCTGGCAAACTGAAACAGTCTCTGAAAGGCAGCACACTTAGAACAGCTCGACCAAGCATTTGTTGCTTTAGTATCTCTGTACCGAGGCATATTACAGCAAAGTAGACAATGCATTTTCATTAAGCACTGCTATGTTCAAGAGGGGGTTTCTAATGATTCCTACACACAGGCTGCACAGTAAGCACTGCAGCTGGCCTGTTTTGTGTTGTAACATCTTCAGATATACACAGAAGGGTATAGTCTCTGTGCACAAAAACAATAACAAGCAGCACCACGATGACTGAATGGAAATACACTGACAGGAATCCACAGTCTGAATGATTCCAGATAATACTGTATGAAATATATAATATTTATGATGGCAAATCAGTTCTTTGTTATTGAAAATAATTACCAAAGAGAGTTTTAGCCCTGTTTGTTGGCCTTTAATGGAAATATAATTCTGTCAGTTGCATAATGAGCAGCTTATGAAAAAACTCAACAGACGACCGAGAAAACACATAAAAAACAAAGACATAAAAAAAACACAAAAAACCTGAAAACAAGCAGAACAAAAAGGATACAAACATAACATCCAAACCCCCCAACAAATGCTGCAAAATACATATCATAAAAATGCACTTTTTTCCTGAAAAAGCCATTATTTAAATGTCTAAAAGAAATCATGTTTTTGGAAACTGTAAATTTAGGAGGTAATAGCAATAAATTAAATAATAATTAAATAATTAAAAGAATTAAATTAATTGTTTGTGTCCTTGGAGCAGTGAAAAGTCGTCGTGTTTCCATGTAGAATTAGATTTATTATTTTAAATTGAATATATTTAAAGTAAGACTGATTTGAAACAATTTTCTTACATTTTATATGGAAAAATCTTACAAAGCCCTGGATCCTTTAAAGGAAAGAGGAAAGCTCTCCCTCTGTTTGTTGCAGGAGAGCAGTGGGTGCTCTGTAGCTCTCTTAGGGCTAAGATTTTGCTGGATGAGGCGTCACAGAGACTCGAAGCGACCTGATAAAACTCTTGGCAGTGCGCGGAGTACTTTGAGGGCCAGTGACTCTCATGGTGAACCGCCTGATATCATGCCACGTCCGGGACTCGTGACTGAATGCAGACGAATAAAAGGCTTGTGGACCAGCCGTGTGGTTCTAACAAAGATAAAAGATGAATCAGGACAGAAGAGTGGAGGAAAAGTGAGAGCAGGATGTGGTGGGAGGAAGATAGAGGATGTCTGAGTATGTTGGTTGTGTGCTCACGCGGGGTGTAACCTGTTTGTTTTCTGTTAATGTGAGTATCACTTTGGATAGAAATCACTGAGATTCCTGTTTAGAATATTTTTGATTTTTAAATGTTTTATTTAAGGCAGGATTATGTTATTAATGCAGTAATAGCAATGTTTGCATTTTAGCAAAGTCCAGAAGAATACTATATGACGAAAGCTGTTATCTGGTCAGCTGACTTTTGAGCTGTGGCTTCACCCCTCCATCGTGTTTATGTGATCTGCAGTTAAGCTCTTAACTAGATTTCAAGAGACATCAAACGTCATTTTTGCTGGAACAAAGTGCAAAAAACGTAACGTCTGAGTCTATTTCTGGATCAGTGACGTTGGGCGATTTGGTGATTGTAGTCCTGCTGATGTTTTGAGCTACAACAACATGAACTCAACTGTGCAGGATTTCAGAATTCAGGGTGTGACAGAAGAGGCTGATATAAATATGCATGTTGACGGTGGATCTTCATGCGCATGTCATACCAGGCCTCAAGATACCAAAATGAGAAGAAATTTCAGACGAAAATACATCATTTCAATGCACAAGACATCATTTGCAGTCTGAGGTTTTGCCCTTAAATCCACATTAAATGTTCACAATGTTGTTTAAAATCTCCACCACGTTTACACATGTAGCAGGTTTGTTCACTCAGCATCTTCCGGTCTCCTAGGAGTGCTCACTTAACGGGCTGGGTTTGAGTTGTGCTGTGAATGATACAAACTTTGACCAGAATGCTGAATGTGCAGCATAAACAGTATCTTTGGATTTGCTTTGATTAAAAATGCTTTTTTTTTTTTTTAAATCAAAGCATTTTTAAAAGTGCTTTTTAACCCCCGTGACCTTGAATTTGATAAGTGGAACTTTAAACTTTGTGAATTTGATGCACTGTTTGGCTGTAAACGTCTTAACAACACTGACCTTTCAGGTAGCAAAGAGTTAAAAACAAACAAACAGCTGTTATAAACGAATGCGTAGCATAGTATATGTAGTATGTGTACTAGCTTTTAGCTTTCTGGATTAATCCTAAGCTACTAATACTGTAAGACAATTAACACACTGGTTCTTTAAAACCAGGTTCTATAAAACTATTGCATATAAATGATAGACATAGCCACCCAAGTGTCATCCTCTAGCTTTGAGTTTGGTATTTTGACTGTCAACATATTTTTGGCAAACAAAAACTAAAAAAAACTAAGACAGCTCAATACAGAACATAAAGAAAGGATCTCCATCTGTGTCTGTGTGCCTTTTAGTGCATATCCTTAAACATTAATACAATGTAAATGGAGCGTTATTGATAATCAATCAGCAGACAGTCGCTATGATGGGGTAGATTAACTACTGAAACCAAACCTGTGTTTTTACTGCAGAGCAAACATGTTTAATTCTTTTAAGTTTTTAAAGTGGGATATTTTAAAAATGCAACCCCTGAAGGAACTGAACAGCTATTTAAAGTTTTTGGCTTGTGTACACTGTTTTTCCATCTCTGATTTCATCTCTCTCTCTCTCTAAAAAAAAAGAGACTTTGATTAGCATAATTTTAGCAACAATCCATTTTCTAAACCAGTTAGGCAGCTGGGGGTTGTGTGGAGACTGGAGCCTATCCTAACTGCCACCAAGAGACTGGGCACCCCTGACCAGGTCACCAGTCTACCACACAGGTCTAATGAGTAAGTAATAAGTAATCATATCCACACCTACAGTAAATTTAAATTCAACAGTTAGGTAATATGCATGCCTTTGGATGTGGGAAGAAGCCCATGCACAGGAAGGCCTGACTTAATGAAGAAGTTAATGAAGAAAACTAGGAACCTTCTATTTACCAAATAATTGCTGACATTAGTGCACATGGTAATGATGTATATTTTGATATCTTAGTGTAAATGTTTTAGCAGGAATACATATGCAGTGATCGTAACAAGAGCAGCAAAGGGAGATGCAATAAAGCACGAGCTTTTGATTGTTTGAAAGCTGCAGTTTTCAATCGTCAGTTTAATTATTCAGAAACATATCACTTGGATGCAGTTTTTAGCAAATGAATCTTACATTCATGAACACATTTTCTCTGGTGCCAAGTCGCTTTTGTTTTTGGATTTTGACATTGTGCGTGTTGGGGATAACAAATGATCTGAACAGATCCTTCTAATTACTAATAAAAGGGAAACATTCATGTAACATGCTGTAAGCTGCTGAAACTGGAAGTTCTAAACTGAGTCAAATATTTGGAAACAAACGTCAAGCTCCAGGATCCTGCACACATAGCAAGTTCTACATACCCGGGATATCTTTCCATTATTTGGAATCACTTACCGCTACACGGGAGATCAAGATACGCAGTCACACTAAGCTGGTCATCAACTTACTTTGCCAACCCAGGGCTTTCTGATCTTAGGTATGAAAGTAACACAGCTGCTTCAGATAAATCTGCATGTGAGCCCAAAAACACTATATAGTAGCTAAGTGTTAAAAGAACTGTAGAAACGCATGGTTATGCTTTAAAAGTTTTGGTCAGTAAAACAGAAAAAGAACTATTATATTAATACAATTCGGCCTGTTTGATGGCAGGAAGAAAAGCTGGCAAAAATCCTAATTTTGTGAGTAAACAAACTTATCAACATCCCAATTATTATGACAGGGAAAACTCAAGTACGCCATTAAATTCATTCTTAAATTTGCATAAGACAGTTTTGTTTTGTTTTCCTTCCAGCTGGAGCCCAGGCCGTGTTTAACTGAGAGCGAGTAACAACTAACAATTAATAAATAACACAATTCAAATATAGGCTAAGTTAATGTTCAATTGATATAATAGCTAATAATTAATAATAATCCAGTAACTATCCATGCACAAAGGTCTGAAAGATCTGACACTATTTTCTGAAGTAAGGGGTGATGTCATACTTGGTGATCGCTAATCTCTAGCAATAATAATAGTAATAATAATATAAGTTATCATGGCAGCGTAACCTGATAAGAGCCCTGAAATTTTCTGGATAAAACAAAATCCTGGTTTGTGGTACAGGCCTCAGATCAAGTATCAATATTTGTATGCTAATGAACCTAACAATAGTCATCACATATCAGTTTAGTTACATGTTTTGTTTTACAGTGTTTTTAAGGTCACTGTGAAGTTGTTCACAACCTTTTCCAGAGAGTTGTTTATTCAATTTAAACAAAAAACAAGCCCCTCTAAAACCCACTGTGTTCCACCATCAGCACTAAAAGATGAGCTTGCAGGTGAATGCTGAGTATTTAGCAGCTGCAGTCAGTTTAAAGGAGATTTGTGGATTTGTGGATCTGTATTTTTTTGTTTTTTGATTTTTATTATCAGACACTGGAAGTAAAAGTGAAGGAAAATCTCCAGTATGTCTGCACGTTCAGTTTTGCCTGAGTCAGGCTGCAGAGTAGGAGCTTAATTATTGATCCCACTTGCGGGAACTTTTCACTAAAGTAGCTTGGCTGCCTCCATGAGATGTTTGCTACACGGTGTCATGGCCATTATTGCTGTTCTGACTTCTGAAGTGGTCCAAATCACACACAAAAGAAACAAAAAAAATCAAAAGGAGACAGTGATAAAAGGTAAAAATGATAAAGACATCTAATCAAATGTGCAGGACTGATCCTGTAATTCTCTACAAGCATCAATACTTAAGCACAGTCTAACCATATATTTAATATAAATGAACTGCTTGCTCATTACAAAGGAGGATATTAAATTTTCATCAAGTAGAAGATAGTTGTGAGGAGATGAGAGGAAACCTTTAAAGCATTCTTTGATGTAAAAATGTATCAGTGAAAACAGTGACCACTAAAGCCAGTCTATCATTCCTAGAAACACAGAACTAGCATTTTTTTTCCTTCCCGTGAGTTAAGAATTAAAATCTAGCTGACATAGTTAAGAATAAAAGGTCTCTTGTGTTGACAGAACAGAAAACAGTGCAGCCCCCTCCCTCTCTGCCTCCCCCACCTCCTGTAATATCATCTCTGTTCATTATTCATGAGCTCGCTGCTGTCTCTGCTGAAGTTAATCAAATTCTGATTGTGAACCATCAAAGGCCTTGAATAGATTTTTAAAAAATGCTTTAGGAGGAGTGAGACAGAAAGAAGAAGCAAAAAGAGGCAAAGATGATCACACTTGCAGAGATTCAAGATCTCTCTGTACATAACAACATAATTCCAATTTCTAGATGCGTGGCCCAAGTGCACAGATGGAAACAGAAGATCCGTGTTCAGGTGCGATTTATTTAACTGTAAGAACAGCGCAGATGAAGAGAAACCGAGCCAGCTGCAGTTTGTTGATGTTGCTCTGTCCTAATTCAAGAAGTCTTCACTTTCGCGCTGCATATCAGTGATGATATATTTAGGTTACAGACCCTAAGAATACACTGCTGCTCTGTTAGCACACAGGAATGAATGCTGTTCTATGTCACTGCAGACTCTTCTCACCTAATGACCGCGGGTTGGCCACTGTAGTAATCCACCGCTTTGAATTGAATGCTCATCGCTACGTGCTAACATCCTCACTATGGTCACTGTTGGTGTGACTACCTGGTTTTATATTAGCATATACCCTATAGCATTAGCATTTACATTTTCTAATAGTGCTAAAGACAATTTTAAGTATTTTTGTTGCAGTTTTGCCACAGTTTGAAGAGTTTAATTGTATTGCTAAGATATTACACTGTAAAATCGAATTAGGTGTGAGTATTGCAATAAATATATAAACATGCAAGCTTGTTGTATTAGAAAAACTAAAGTGCAGTTTACTTTAGATATTTAAGTTAGGGTAGTACTTAGAATAACTTTATTATTTTGAGTGACGATACAAAATGAAGTAGTAAAGCTAACACAATAATTTTAAGTTCAGGGAACCTAAAGGAAAGCTTTTGAGTACATGACACAAATTCAAGCCAGTTTAATCACTAGCCCTATATGACAAGCTTGTTAACTTTCCACTGAAAGAATTCTAGTACTCTTTCTATCAATATAAACATTAAATAAAAAATAATGTTAATCTAAAAATACATTTAGAACAATCACCAGGCTCAGTCGATGGCACTAAAACTTTTATTGGCATAACAAGTACTTCAGCCAAGGTTCAAAATTGGATCGATCTAGTGAAGAATAAATAATTATATTTCCATTATTACTGCAAAAACAAAGATATATATTTAACCAGGAAAACTGATCTGTCTCTGAACACTGAACAAGATCCAGCTCTCTAAAAACCGTTATATCTCACCTCTGCTCTAAGCTCCTTATCCCCTTGTATTTCTAATCCCAGACTTGCTATTCATCACCTGTCCTCTAGTGACTACTGCTGAGGCCAGGTCACTCCACCGCCCAGCCTCCACCTTATGTCAGTTGACCCAAACTGGACTGGATGGATCCTCAGCCTGGATTTTGAAAATCCACCTGCTAATTTTAGCTTACTGTTTTCACCCCACTGGCTACTGTTAAACCTGCCTCTGGAAATCCACTGCTTCACACCTGTTTCTTCAATGTGACTGAGATTATACAGTAAAAAAACAGCTAGCGTGCTGTGCTAACAGTACAGAAGCCAACGTTACTTCTTGGATTTATTTTCACTGACTGGATTTGTGGGTTGTGTATGTTTAGAAAAATACATTGCTTAGGTGTTATACTTTTAAAGGATGATCATCTTTGATAGGTAGGTAGACAGATTGATATATGGATAGATATGAGGGCCTCATACTGTGAGATATACTGTGTAAAGTGTTATCTATGCAACAGTGAGAAAAAAAAACAAAGGAAATATAAAAATTAAACTCTATCTTCTAATTTGCCATTTCCTGACATGACTAAAAGAAGTCCCAGAGTCTGGTTCATAAATGTCCAACATAACTATGAGAAACAACTGAAAATACTAATACTCTTTGTTAATGTTTTAGCCACAGACTGCGGTTTTGGCTTTGCTGCAGTTTTCTGTTGTTCTGTCATCAGATTACAGTGTGACATGAATGACTGTGTTTTTTTGTTTTGTTTTTCATATTGATCCAGGTTTCCAAGTGAGGAAATATGGAGAATATTGAATCAAGTGACAAAGTTATTGATTGGCTGGGACTGCAATAATGCAGCAGTCTGTGCTGGGCTTACACTAAATAGATCTTTGAGTCACTCACAGGTCTGAATACTGAAGAGTGCTGCCTTCGTTTGTTACTTTAACTTTTCATTTAGCCCTCAGAATCCCAACTAAAGTTGTTGCTCTCATCTGTCTCATTTACGATGGTAAATTCCTCAAGACAAACTGGGATAAGCACTGCTTGTTTTGCTTTTAATTAAAACAAGCCTCAGTTGTTCTGAATTATATTAAAAGACTTGTGACAATAGATGGCTTTTGGTTTGTATATCGCTGAAATTATTCCTTCAAGCAAGGAAGGGTGGCTCTTTTTTATGCAGCAAGGAGGACAGATTTACAACAGCGTAGTGTACTGTAAATATGTGATAGGCATTCCTTCGAGTCTTCGTATCAGCAGCTTCTTCCTTAGAGGTTTGACACACTGCTTGATTCACACAGGGTTGTGCCAGAGTATCCCACTCTGCTCGTTTCACACATACCAACACAAGCTCAGACGGCCTAACGAGAGTCGGTGTGATTAATAGTACCAGCAGTGACTGTTTATCTTAGTAGTACTGCCCTATAATGCGAGCAGACGTGCAGATCCACACCTACACATTCACAGATGAGGTAACTACACTGCAAAATGGAAATTGCACCCCCGATTTATTGCTTGAAGTAGAAAAGAGGATGAAGTACAGCTATAATTACCAAACATGGGTTTCTAGGTACGTCAATCATACATGCTCACACACAAACACACCCTTGCATTTATTTTTTTTAGGCAAGGCAAGTTTATTTGTATAGCACAATTCAACAACAAGGTGATTCAAAGTGCTTTACAGAGACATTAGAAACAAAAACAAATAAAAAGCAGGATTTAAAATTGATTAAAACAAGCAAACAAACAAACTAACTAATTAACAAACAAACAAAACAGTATATAAAATCAAAACAGATAAAATCAGAACAGTAGATAAAATCAGTAGTTAAAATGTAAGTTTTGAAATTTAAGCTTAAGTGCAGATTTGGTGCTTTATTCAAATGCAGCTGAGAACAGGTGAGTCTTCAACCTGGATTTAAATAAACTGAGTGTTTCAGCTGATCTGAGGCTTTGCAGCTTCTCCGTGTCTGGTTCGGACTCTGGGAACTGATAAAATACTACTTATATTTTCTCCCCTCCCCAGGTTTCCCCTCCTCACCTCACTGACCCATGAAAGAAGCCATGCCGGTTCTCACAGCAGGAGCGGGTAAGAAAAGCGCAGATGCTCAACACATACTGTCCATACTGCTCAAGGCTAGCTGTGCCCCATCTGTTCATGCTAATATAAATGATGGATTTTCTAATTCATGTCCTGTGCAGGGCTACATGAAACGTTGGCCCTGCTGACCTCTCAGCTGAGGCCAGATGCCAATCACAAAGAGGACATGGTGTTCCTCAAAGATGTCTTCAGTGAGAGGAGTTTGGGATACCTGATGAAGGTGAGGAATTATGATTCTTGTGAGGATGGTTCAAGCTTTACAAATGTTAACTTGTAATATAATTATTTGGATAACTAATTTCTAAATTGAAACATCTATTATTGGTTAAGCAAGAAAAGGTTCCTTTCCTTTTTTTGGATGACTACCTGAATTCATGGAACAGGAAACTGGTATCTAGTAGTTTCTTTGTGAAACGGTGCAACTAAAGTAGCATCATGCCAAAATGCTCCCAATGTCTTTATAGTCTGTCTATAGGTCTACAGATGGCATAATTTTATAAAAAACAAAACAAAACTCAAAACAAATCCTAAAATTAGATCATTTTGATGTGCACAATAATAAAAGTGCAGAATTTGGAAATAAAACCAGATCACACAGCTTTCATCGGAGGTCTGCTCTTCATGGAAGTATGCTCCTGACATAAAATAAGCATCTGAAGACTGTCTGAATCAAAAGCATATACCAGTTATATTTTATTTGGCTTACTTTCGATGTGGTAGGTCATTCTACTTGTAAAATATTACAGCTGATGGGTGGAATAGTTAGGATTATGTACTCTGACCATAGACTGTAGATAAAAGATGGACATAGTTTCCCATAATGCAGTGCCTCAAACTGGCTTTTAGCCATTCTTTCTACTGACATACAGAGGGTGACTGTTTTGGTTGTATAAAAGTACTTGGTAAAAGGATCCAACTCACTTGCTCTATGACCTCCATAAAGGCTAAAGCAAGGTACACTTTAGGGCAGGGATGGGGGAACTCCAGGCCTCAAGGGCCAGTGTCCTGCAGGTTTTAGATCTAACCCTGGGTCATCACACCTGAATAAAATGACTAATTCATTACCAGGCCTCTGGAGAACTTCAAGACATGTTGAAGGTGTAATTTAGCTATTTAAATCAGCTGTTGGATCAAGGACATGTCTAAAACCTGTCCTTGGCCTCAAGGGCCAATGTCCTACATTGGCCCTTGAGGGCTGGAGTTCCCCCACCCCTGCTTTAGGACATGGATACCTCGACAAGTTGGTTCAGAACTTGAACCAATCATGGTGGCTGTGTTCATTTGTTGTTGTTTTTTTATATCTAGTTGATTTGAGGTCAGCGGATTTATGCTTATATTTTGTGGCTGTTGGAAAAGAATGACATGAAGCTGATACACGTGTTATGGAATATCATATTACTGTACTTCACTTTTTGGCCTAACTATGCAGCACTTTATTAAAATTCCTCCTTCTATACACTGATTGTGTTTTTTTCCTAGATTCACGAGAAGCTGAGACAGTATGAGAGACAGAGCCCAACACCTGTCCTCCACAGTGCTTCCTCTCTGGCAGAGGATGTAAGTTTCTCTCTCTCTCACACACACACACACACACACACACACACACACGCATGCACACACACACATACTGTAAATTACTTTTCCACTTGGGCACAGCATTCAGTCACCATGAGTTAGCTCCGACAGAGAAGCAATGTGGGTATGAAAAGTGAATTTTAATGTTCTCAAAGTGCTGACTCATCCCAGTGCTCCTCTAATGAAACTCCATATCCTGCTGCCCTGTTGCTCTCACCAGTTATCAGATGAGCAAACTGCTGACCCTAGGTGCTTTCCACTTATCTTTCCCACTCTGCATCTCTGAATCTGTCTTCTGCCGTTCTACAATAAACTGTGTGTGTTACTAGTATACACATCCAGAGTTCATGTGTATTGGGATTGGCAGGTGGCGGAGGAGCTACAGAGTGGTTCGATGAGCACAGAGGAGAAGGAGCTGCTGAATTTGCTACTTTCCCCTCATCTTAAGGTAAACACATTTTCAATTAGTGGAGATTTTGTGGCAGTGACACACAAACTCTGATTTCATTCACCTGCTGTTGAGCTGGGTTGTTTCACTTGCACTCATATCAAACTGAAAATTCATTTCTGATGCAGTTCACAAGCTCTGGCAGATGTCAGACTGCTTTGTGCGCTTCCCGACAGCTGAACGTCAGCACTGTAATCTCAGCATGTATGTTTTCTGCCCCATCAGGCTGTTCTGTCAGTGCATGACACCGTAGCTCAGAAGAACTTTGACCCTGTTCTGCCACCGCTGCCGGACGACTTTGAGGACGATCTGGAAGAGGAATCTGTAAAGATTGTCAGGCTGGTAAAGAACAAAGAACCTCTGGTGAGTTGTGACGTAAAGTCAAGAGTGGGAATGAAACTAGAGAGCCTTCAAGAGAAGCAGATGAAACAGGAAGGGATTATGGGACGGAGACCTTTGGCCTCTTCTGCTAATGGAGTTGTTACTTCTTTGTACTCTAGGGAGCCACCATCAGGCGTGACGAAGCCACTGGAGCAGTGATAGTGGCTCGGATAATGAGGGGAGGTGCAGCTGATCGAAGTGGTAAAATGCTGTTCATTTTCTAAAAGCTTGTATATCTTATAACTACTATAACAATATCTGTGGTACCCAGTGTTGGGAAGGTTACTTTTAAAATGTATTCCA